CATTAATACTTATTTAATCAGAACCCAGTCAAACTAGGTTGCATAAGGTGATTTAAGGATTGATGCTTCAGTTCTCTCGAAATAATAAATATAGACCTTATGATATCTTTGCATCTTACTATGTCTTACCTCCTACTTAGATTCTCACCTTAATCGACCTTTAGTGACTAAGTTATTTTTCAACTCACCCTATAGTTTCGTTAAATTCTCTAAGTTATCATTTATTATTATAGGATTTAAGGAAATATTTTTTACTCGGTATAAAATTCAAATAAAGATCATAAATCGCGACAAATGTTGAGGGAAAATGCATAAGGATTTACTTGAAATGATGTGTGTGTATCCGCATGAAGCTGAAAGGTAGTTCGTCGGTCGTCAGACTGCACCGGCTTGATGAACTCTCGAGTGCAAGGAGCGATCTGATCCTCTCCAGTGTGATAAATAAGCTGAATACGGTCCTCACATATATGAAAAATCCTCTCAAAAATATCTTCGGATGCATCTAGAGTCGAATTGCGCTCGAAGCGCTCGGTAATCTGATCGATCATCAGAAAACTAGTATGTAACATCTGAACGGTGGAAGGGCCGAATCCACTTGAGCCTGGGTATATAAAACGTATATATCAACGGAAAAGGTGTTTTGATGAATGCCTTTATAGACCGTTTTTGGTTGACTGTCACACGAAATTAAAGCCAGCCTAAAAATGCAAAAAATACTAAAAGTATGATGGGATCGGTTGATTTTTCAGAGCTTGGGAATCAAGTGTAGCTGTGGCTAATGTTAAAGCTTGCAAGAAAGCAAAGCCAAGTAAGGCGAATTCAAATAACTAGACACATAGTGGTAAACGACCAAGAAACTTGAAGATAATCAATGAGCGAGACGAAGTATGATTGAAGTTTACTAAATACCAAGATATTTAGAAAGTATGATCACGTTACAAAATTAAAAAAACGTATTTATGTACATACCAATCAAGAATTTCGAAAACATCGCTAGAGTTTGAACGAGAGTCCGAGTCACTTAAGGTTGCTTAGGATGAGGCAAGAGCATAGTTGAATTCCCCACACGATATTTAGATATGGGATCGTGTTTGGCCCCAATTTTAGCTAATAACTCAATGGATAAATTTAATATTCATACCTAATAAGCACCTCTATTGTATAAAATGCTTGATAGCTATATT